ACATTTTCGAGGATGCTTAAATAACTTTAAACATTTGTTTAAGGTTACCTTTTTATTGTTTGATCAAAATAATAATTTTGCAGCTCCATAAAAATAAAGCAAATAAGTAGCATTTACCTATAGAACTTCCGCGGTTATTAATGTGGAAATAATATATTTATACGGAAATAAGTTTTATTTCACAAACAATTGGAACCTACTTATCAACAAAGTTAACAGCAAACGTTTGACTTTGGAGTCTAGATTTGAATACTCTTCAATGCAGAAGTTAAGTACAAACTTGTATACGTTCTAATTGTATGCAAATTATATCTTATCGCCTTATAAATATATTATATATAAGTACTAATAACCGTGGAGATTCATATAGACAATTTACATATAATTTCTTATACAACATTTTAAAACAAAAATTAACTCAATTTTGCTCCCTAACTACGCTTAAGTCCTATTTACCCTTTACATTTTTTCCTTAAAAATAGTTTCTTTGAATATTAATTATAATATACAATATAAATCAATATTTGATTGTTTGCTTTAGGTTTCATGGGTGAGACATCGTGACATTCACTTGCTGACAGTCGGCACTTACACTTACACGAGTGATCAACGTTTCGAGGCGATGCACAAACTCCATACAGAAGAATGGATTCTCAGAATACGATATCCACAGCGAAAGGATTCTGGTATCTACGAGTGCCAAATATCCACGACTCCACCCATCGGTCATCCTGTTCGTCTGACTATAGTTGGTGAGTCGTAATTGCTGCATAGTCATAACGAGCGATAATTCTAGCTTTAATAGAGATGCATGAGAATTTGCATCGTAATTCAGCCGCTACCCGTTCTAGCCTGGTAAATACAGCGATTCATTCATTGCTAGAATACATTTTGAATTATGTTTCGTTTACATAAAGTTGCCAGTCGTATTAAATATTCTTTTAATCATTTTTTCATAATGAATATTAACTAGATATTGACTATACCATCAGACAATAAAATTGAATAGTAAACACACATTTCAAGAATAAAAAAGGAAGACGTTATATATTAAATTTTCAGAGATTCTTCTCCTTCACTTGCAAAAAAAAAAATCACTTTACTTTAAATGATTTATACAATCGATATTCTTGTTCTCGTCAAACGACTAAAATATCTTTAAAATGATTTAGCACAATTATACGATTAGAAATGTCTTTATATAGATTGTAACAGATTTAGAGAGAGAAAAAGATTGAAATTGATCTAGAAATTAAATTACTTAATAAATGCTTATATTATTGATAAAGATTTACCGCGAATAGTCCAAATGTCACAATTCAATCGGAAATTCATGTTCAGTTCTACGTAAAACGTAGTTAAGTTCTTCTGATTTATCACGATTTATCGAATACATCATGACGATCGCCACAAGTTTGCCCAACGACATTTGAATAATTTAAGGTTATACATAAGTTGGGAAAAACTCAAAGAAAAAAAACGTGGAATATTCTCATAACTTTTCTCTTAAAACTTCGCTGGTCATTTTAAGTATTGAGTAGAGGTAAGAAACCCTTTGCAAAAGTTACAAGCTAGTGGGCCTCGTGGGAATTGCCAGACGATCGAAAGAATCATAAATCAATGCGAATAAGTTACTTCGAGAAAATATTATTAGCGACGCGTGTAGCAGACGAACATTGTCTTCAAGTTTATAAGATCGAGAAATTGCACATACGTGACATAAAAAAACATTTTTGCAATTTGCAAAAAAATTAATGTAAGTTCAAAGACATACATGAAACATTTCTTTATTTATTAAAGTATGCAAAAGAAACGTAATTATACAAATTAATTTCTTGAATAAAATCTTTAGAAAACTTAAAAATACTAAAATTTATATTGTTTAAACAATTTAACAACAGCTTTATTTTATATCCTTTACTTAAAATGTATACGTTAGTAAAGAAGTACCACCATTGATTGACGAACCAACGAAGAAACGAAATCAAGATTCGCGTCTCACACAAACAAATCAAACAACGAATATTTCCTCTGTGACATCTATATCTTCTCGATAGGTAGTGACAAATCTTTCGAAATTTTCGGTCAACAGAATCCTTTCTTCGATTCATCAAATCCCGAGTTAGAGAAAGCTTATCGCAATTGATCTTCGAGGGTTAATATTGTTAGAGACGGGTAGGCATTCCACGAACACGAATTACGAATGTGGCCAATTATCGCGAAGTTAATAAAGCCTTTTCTTGAAGAAAAGGGAGGCCTAAGAAAGAAAAATCGACATCTACTCTACCAAGCTTATTTTTTCTTGTTTTTGTACCATCCATCACACTGTCCCATTTTCTTCGTCTTCTAGTTTCTTCTCTCTTTCTCTACCAGTTCAGATCTGTCTTTTTTTTTGTTTCATTAAATTCCATACGTCTCTCAATCTTTCTCTGATAGAAAATGTTTCTAATTTTTTCCGATCTCTCTTCGGTGGTATTTCATCATTTAATGATAATGCTGGCTTCACTCATAATCAGAACATCGAAATTAAAACTACAAAAACATATAATATTTTTGCTTCTATTTTAGCAATATTGATTTAAATGATTCCCGGATAAACTGAAATTATTTTGTAAAATTTCTCATTTTTGCCTACATTAAAAGGAAAATTTTTCGAACTTCCTTTTTGAAAGGATATGAATTTTGCAATTTTCATCATCGTTTCCATTAGTTTGAAAGAAAGGTGCTTAAAGATAATTTCAGAATAGTCAGAGGTGAATGATTGCCCAATTACCTACACTTGTTCTCACTGCGTAAATGTTGCATAGGTGTTGGGTGCGCAGAATAGGTAATATATAATAGCGACAGGATAATCTAAAGCAACCCTATAAATTACGTCCAAGCAATTGATCGACGTGACGGTAAAGCTCCCTCTCCATCTTCGTCCATTTAATAAAGACGCCGAAGGTAACGCGAAGCGGATTGAAAAACAATAGTCGACCTTTCAACGGCATTCTTGGCACGCGATGCCCGTGAAATTGTGGCGACAAATTGAGCCTTCTCAGGAGCGAAAGATTCTTCTTCAGTATTGCGCCCTTTCATCGTTTCGCTTTCTACCGCGATCCACATCGATTGCCTGAAAAGAGACCCGATCTCGTCCTCCATTTTCATGAAACTTCTTTTAAACACTTATTCGTCTTTCTTTCCCTCTCCGTTTCCGGACCGCGTCATTGCTTCCCGCTACTGCGATTCATGCTTACATCGTTTGACTCGAAGATTCGATTTTCAAATAGTTCGACATTTATCGTAAGAAGTGACGTGTAAAGATCGTTGAGATCTGCGAACGTGACGCGGAAAATTCTAGGAGATTTCAAAGCAATACTTACATCTAATATTATACGATCGAAATCGTGTTATTTCTCATAAAAGAAGAATTGTAGTCCCGCGAATTTAATTAATTAATTTATAAAGATATTATTCTGTTATTATTACAAAACTTTTTCTTCACTTTACTATAAAAAAAAAAAATAAAAAGAGAATATTTTATCATTCTGTTTAAAACATTATTTCCTTTAAAATTGTTTTTAAAAACCTATTGAAAATCGATATTTAAAATTTAAACGATACTGCTTTTTCGATTGGGAATACTAGTTCCTTTTAATGTTTATTATTCTGTTTAAAAGGTATTATTTTCTTTAAAATTGTTTTTAAAAATGTATTGAAAATCGATATTTAAAAATTAAAACAATACTGCTTTTTTATTAGTAAAATATTTTATAATGTCAACAATATTAAGAATCTTTTATTTTAAACCGTATATGTGAGAAACACTCATATACCATATGTAGTCTTTTAGGACGCTCGTACGGAATACAAGAGATCCGGATTCAAGTCCCGGCCGAAGTGTTATTTGTCGCAATAAATTTATTAACAGTTTTAATATATTAACATCTTTATAATATCGTACGATGCTTGATGGTAGCATTAAATTAATAAATTACTTGTCAATTTAATTCACGATTACTAGAGTAGTTTTAATTTTATAGTCCGAAAATAACAATTCGGCGCGCAGTCTAAAAGACTATATGGTATATATGCAAGTACATATATAGTGTATATTAGTAATTCAAGATTGAATTATTTAAAGCAATGAAAATCCAGCTTTGACCGTATAATAGGCGTTTATAATATCATTTCCAAATCCCTATTTTCTGAAATCGCTTTAATCATACCAGGGGCAACACTTACTTTGAGTAATACATCTCTTTAACTATCGACGTCATTTCTGTTATTGCTCACTTGACGATTGGTACGCTGGAGAAGCTTCGTCATCTGCCTATATAGAAATAGAAAATGATTCATTACGAATGCAAGCATTATACCATTTGCTGACGTTGTGAACAAAAAGTTGTCGCGGCTACCTTTTTTCGTGGTAATATTTCTTTTATCTCGAGTTCGTTCGCGTTGGTCCTCTTTATTCTTTTCTATCTACCACTTTATTTCATCTAGGAAGGCAATAAAGGACGTGAAAGTTTTATCTTTTCATTTGCTTCTTTGCCTTTCTTTATCTCTCTCTTTTTTCTTCCAGATCTGCCGACGTTTGATAACCAAACACTGCAGACACCCCAAAACGAAGTACCACTAGCTAGAAGCAGCTCTCTCTCTCTCTCTCTCTCTCTCTCTCTCTCATTAAAACAGTTTAAATAATTCGTCAAAACGATAAATGAGTTTACATCCGGATCTGTCTGGTTCTCATTAAGTCGTTGTCAAGTATTGAATCAAACGGATCGCGATGTTCATTTCACGAAAGAGCCAAAGAGGAGAAATGAGTATCGCTCTGTTCGCAATTTGTTCTCGTTATCTCGATTGAATGGTCGTCAACTTACGAGTGCTGCCGACAGACCAATAAATCATTTGCATCGAAAACCACCGCGACGTTTGTCTATGGTCGACACATTTGGGCCAGTAACGCGATCGTTTCCATCCTCTTTCACATTGGTGTTCTCAATCGTTTATAGTCGATTGAGAAATTCGTATCGTATGATTTGAGTTATGATCTATTACTTGTAAAATGTAATATTAATGTAAAGTTTTGTGTGTGTGTGTGTGTGTGTGTGTGTGTGTGTGTAAGGTTTTATAATTAAATTTATTCTACGTATATTTTTTTTCCAGCCACAGCATTTTTACAAAAGTCACTCATTGTATTGTAAAGTTTTGCGTTTAATTTTCTCCCATAGTGGAGTCTGAATTTAATTAAAGATACTGTTTTTTGCAATGAAAGAGTTCAACTGCCGCGTAATTTTTAATTCCCGTTTGCTCTAGAAATAAAAATAACTCAAATGAATAGACAAAGAATACGTGAGAAGAAATGCGAGACGAAATCAATTGCGGAAACGAAATAACGTTGAGAGATACTCCTTAAAATTCTCACAATTTCAAAAGCAAAATTTCAAAAATTTCACAAAACAGCTCTCCGCAAACAATATATCGGACATTGTCCCCAATTTCGAGTGTTATCAAAGTTTCGACGTTGTGTCCTTCCTCTCTCGGCACCGGTAAAGCAATATAGCCTTTTCACCCGTGAATCAATTTCGCAGCCGTCACGTACTCGGTCAAGTCGTTTCTCATTGACGTTAGCGGTAGTAAAAGAAAAAGAAATTTCTCGAAAGGAAGTGAAGGAAAAGGAGCATCGCGAAACGGGTGGGCAGTTCGTAGTTTTCGTTTGTCGCAAACGTGCGTGGAAAGTTAAACTATGCACATGCAGCATAACGAA